CTCCTTGAGCACCTGTGCATTCCTGTGCCCTTGATCCAGGCGGGCGGAAGCTGGACGTGGGTCGCAGCATCAGGACCGTGTCAGGAGTGCTGTCACTCTCTCTCTCTGTCTCTTTCTCTCTAACTTTCTCATTCATTGAATAAATGGATAAGCTTTAAAATGATATAACAATAATCATGTACTAGCAGTTATGATAGCATGGAAAACTCTAAAACTTATTATATTAATTGAACCAGATACGAAAGAATATACTTTGTACGATTCCACTGAAGTAAAAGTTTAAAATGAACAGAAGTAATCTCTGGCGATAGAAATCAGAATAGTAGCTATTTCTGGGAGTTGAGAGTTGCCTCTTGATGCGGAAACAGAGTAACTTTCTGAGGTGATGGAAATTTTGTTTACCTTGATCTGGTTTTGTGGCTATATATTTTTGTCAAAATTCACCAAGCTGTACACTTCTGTGTAACTCAATAAAGTACTGTTGACATTATAGAATAAAAATAGTGGGTTTGTCTCATCTCAAAAATGTTCATGGAAACTAAGATTTTCAACATAAAAGAGATGCAAATATAAAAAATTCATAAAAATTCTACAGTTTTCAATTTGAATGGAAAATATCAGTATGGGGCTGATGCTGTGGCCTGTTGGTTAAGGGAGCCAGATCCCACAGAGCTGACCACGCAGTTCAAATCCTGGTTCCAGTGGATGCAAAACACAACAGGATGGAGAAAGAGAGGAGAATGGATTACGGCATGACCACACCCCATTGAGGGGGGTGCTTTTTTCTTCTTCTCTCCCTGCCTCTTTGTCTTTCTCTGAAGAGAATAAGTAAATAAGATATTAGTTTGAACTGATGATATATTTTCTTATTTTTAAAAAAATGTACTTCCTGGCAGCTTGAAAAACATACCTGGAGCATGTGTGTGCATGCCTGAAATCTGAGAGGAGAGTGGAGAAGGGATTGAACTGTGCCCATCCCCTCATGGGGTGCTTTCTGATTTCTTTCTATCTCTGGAGAGTCCGTGCACCCTATAGCAAATGCTTTTTTTCTTTTTGTCTTTATGTTTATGGCCCAGCCAGTGGCTTAGTAGTTAAGGTATCTGGATCCACGTGGCCAACAGTGTAGTTCAAGTCCCCGATTTTGTGGCTTGAAAAAATGCACTGGTGGGAACCAGCAGTTAGCGTAATGGCTATGTCGCTGGACTCCCACGTAGTCGACCCCGGTTCGCGTCCCAGACCTGGTGGTTTAAAATTCATGCCGGGCGTGTGTGCGTGAGTGCCCAAGATCCCGCGAGGAGAATGGAGGAGAAGGGATTGTGGCGTCACCATCCCCTCTCGGGGGGGTGATTTCTCGCTTTCTGTCTCTATGTCTCTCTTTGTCTGTCTGGCGAGCGCACGTGCCCTATAGCGAAAACCTCTCCAAAAAAAAAAAAAAAAGAAAGAAAGAAAAGAGAAGAAAAGAAAAGAAAAAATGCACTGGAAATGTGAACATGTGTGCCCAATACCCCAAAAGGAAAAATGGAGGAGAAAGGATTGTTACATGACCATCCTCCCATGAGAGAGTGTTTTCTCACTTTCCCTCTGTCTTCAGTGATTGAACACACCCTCCAGCAAAATTTACAAAAAAAAGAAGAAGAAAATTCATTTCCTAGCTCTGTCTACTAATAAGTCTTAGAAACAATGACCAACCAAATGAAATGCATGTACCAATTTGCAGTCTCTAAACTCTATTTCCCGCTAAATGCAGCCAGGGCTCCTTGCAGAAATAGATGGCTCTGGAGTAGGGCAAAAATTGCACACCGTGAGCCTGAGACAGCATGACATGTCAGAGAGCCAGGCACAAGTCAGAAACTCTTGAGGTCATGACAACAGGACTCAGAAGTCAACTTACCAAGGCTCCCAGTGGCCACAAATAGGACTATTGAATAAGAAAAACGGCTAAGATGTGAATCACATGAGTCCTGTTGAAAATTTACAAGTTCACAGAGATACTCAAATAATACTAGTAATGAACACCATTGTTCACCTCTGATGTTGGGGAGCCAACTCGTTATTCTGAGGACAGGAAATTATGAAGAGAAGGAACCTACCTTTGCTGTATAAATGGAACCTCAGGATAACCAAATAGTAGAAGAGAAGATGTTTCTTTTCATAGGAGTATTCCACTGACTAATTCAGCAGAAATATTGCCATTTTGCAAGCCCTTAAAGACTCATCATTCTAGGCAGTGGTGACTGTACTGTTTCCTAGGACCTCCATAACAACAGGTGCCTGGAAACAGCCGTAATTTACTGTCTCACAGTCCTAGAGGGGAGTCTGAGATCAAAGTACCGACAGAGCTGTGCTCCCCCAAAGCCTCCTCCTTCTTTTCCTAGTCTTCTGGTGTTGACCGAATCCTTGACATTCCTTGGTTCCTAGAATCTAGTTTCTGCTTCTGCGGTCACATGGTCATCATCTTTCTGTGTCATTCTGTGTTCAAACTCTCCTCTCCTCATAATCACTGCATGAGAACCTACCCTTGTCCAAGGATAACCAAATAGTAGAAGAGAAGATGTTTCTTTTCATAGGAGTATTCCACTGAGTAATTCAGCATCATCTTTCTGTGTCATTCTGTGTTCAAACTCTCCTCTCCTCATAATCACTGCATGAGAACCTACCCTTGTCCATTATGACCTCCTTTTAATCTGATTATGACGGAAAAGAACCCTATTCCCACATAAGGTAACATTCCCAGGCGCATGGGTTTAGGAGTTCACCATACCTTTTGGGTGACAAAAATCAACTGATAAATAATTATCAAAGGGACAGCTAATATCACAAGTAAAAGGAGTTTTTCTAGGAAGTTGAGTTTCTGTTGTCAGAATCATTCACAGCAACTTGATTGCTGAAGGATGTCTTTTCTTGTTGGAAGCATCTGGTTAGCTGACAACAATGTTTTTTAGTAGACAACAAATTAAAGGAATTTTTTAAAACTTTTATTATAAAAGTACTTTGTACATACACAGAATAAAAAAAGAAAATTCAAAAAGTACAAAAAAATTAAGATCACGCTTTCCCAGTTCTATTCTCTAGAGTCTCTGCTTTTCCAAGTTTCTCGTGGGCTGTGCCAGACATTCTTCTAAGCATATACAAAGGGAAACGTGATTTGGACATCAGTGCAAATGCTGTTCTTCTGTTGTTTTTATTTTGTTTCACCCGGCAATACATCTGAGAGACCTTTTCACAGCAGTGTGTTGGATCCTCTTTTCTATTCCACTATATGGAAATACTATAATGCATATTAAGCAAGCCCCCAATTAGCAAGCATTTTGTGTACATATATATTTTTATCAAAATAAAATTCACACAACATTAAAATTACCATTTAACCCTTGTAAATTGTATAGCAAAGTGCTTTTTAGTACATTCAAAATGTTCTACAATCATTCGCTCTATGTAATTCCAGAACATTTTTATCACTCCAAAAAGAAATGTATACTTCGTTAACGGACAGCTCTCTATCCCCCTCCCCCTTGGCAGGCATCTTTTTCTAAATATGTCCTCTTAGAATTAATGTTGCAACACACCTCCCACCTCTTTCTTGAACACATAGAAAAGGATTTTTTTTTTTTAACCTTCATCTTCTAAAGAAAACCCCTCCTTCATTCTTCCAGCTCGGGACAGGAAGTGCCTGTGGTTCAGCGTCACAGAGCAAACCTCCTTACCTGACTGCATCAGCCGTGAGTCACCTGCCACCCCAGAATTGCCGGAATTGCCGGGCAGGTGGAGACTGAGCCCTCAGGAGTGTGCCTGGCTCGTGAGGCACATGGCCACCCAGTGCCCGTGGCTCTGGGACTGAAACAGACAGCTGTCTCCAGGCAGGGGCTGCTTGAGCGCTCCTAGCTTCCCTCTTGAATGACAGACGGTCACCCCAGCCGCCCTCTGTCGTCAGGTAAGTGCTCTGGCTTTGAGAGATTCTGGCTTTGAGGGATGTTAAACTCCATTCGAATTACCTGCACACAACACTTTCTCCGTTGTGGGTGTTTAAAGTTAAGACACTAAAATTCTAATGTGGACTGATGTCTCTGAACGGTGTGGCATGGTCACTGAGTAACCAGAGTAAGCTTTTATTTTAATTTATTCTTAAAAAATAAAATTAAAAAAATTTTTTTAATGTGCTTTGCCTTTAATCCTTCTGGAAGTCCTCTGTGTCAGCAAGGTTTTTCCTTCCTGCCGTGCAAGACTTTAAGTGAGGCATCCCTTGACAGATTTGGGGATTTCCTGACAAGGAAGTGAGGCAATTTGAGTAAACCAGACACAAATACATTTCACTTCAACAAAGCTTTTCAGGTGTCACAAAAGATGTGTGAGACACCAGATAGGAAGTTCTAGAAAGTGCTCTTTAAAAAAGTATTCTCCTGGGACCAGCAGTTAACATAATAGCTATGTCACTGGACTCTCATGTAGTCGACTGCGGTTCGAGTCCCGGACCCGGTGGCTTAAAACTCATGCCGGGCGTGTGTGCGTGCGTGCGTGCCCAAGATCCCAAGAGGAGAATGGAGGAGAAGGGATTGCGGCGTGGCCATCCCCCCTGGGGGGTGATTTCTCGCTTTCTGTCTCTCTGTCTCTCTCTGTCTGGTGAGCGCACGCGCTCTATAGCAAAAACCTCTCCAAAAAAAAGTATTCTCCTGTTGACGGCTTTAGTGCAGCTCTTGTCATTCAGTCTAGAACTGGACAAGTTTAGGCCCTTGCTTTGCTGAGCAGAGGTCTACTAGACTACGGGTAAAGAGAGAGGGAGCTGGCCAGCTGTCTCAGTGCAGGCCATCCGGGCTTCCTTTCCAGCTTGAACGACACACACAGGATTTGGTTTGTTCCTCCTCTCTTTTATGTGTCTTTTGAAAAGTAGGTAAAGGTTTATATAGTGTCTCCCTGAAGAGTATACTTTGGAGTTGTTCCTTATGGCTTCTTACTTACCCTCTTTGTAAAATTTGGCTAATTATCAGTTACTAGAAGACAAGCGCATGCTTTAAAAAAAAAAGAATTATTTATTTAATTGTATTCATTTTCATGATTTTTCAGTTTGACCAGAGAGAGATGGAGAAAGAGAAAGGGAAAGTGAGAAAGCAAGCTGAGGGAGTCCAGCTCCCCAACCATCACACACCTGCCAGCCCCAGCATATAACTTTGAAGAGATCAATAAAGTTCTTGCTCCTCTGACAACTCTGACGTTTCAATAACAGCAGTTAGTTTAAGAAAAGAGGTTACTGGGGCTGGCAGGTGCCATGGTGGTTAAAGATGCTGGACTCTGACCGTGGTTCAAGTCCCAGACCTGGTGGCTTGCTTTCTCACTCTCTCTTTCTCTCACTCTTTCTCTTTCTGGTCAAATTAAAATATATAAATAACTGGATAAATGAAGTTAAATAAAATAATTCTTAAAAACAAAAAGAAAAGAAGCTACTAAAAAAGCATTGGCTTAGTGGATTTTGAGGTGGGGATTTAAGTAAAAAATGAAGTGGCAGGCTGCAAGAAAATGTTTGAGTCTTAACAGAATAAATAAAGGGCATTGAAAATCCCATATATGTGATATTTACCAAATAGAACAAAAACTGAAGGTGCACAAATAATTCAATGTTCTTTGTCGAAATGATGAGTATAGTAATATCCTGGATTTTATTATCACATAATACATGTGCCTTGAGAAACTCTTTTGCACCTACAAAGATGTACAAGTAAATGTGACTAAGGAATTATAAAATAAAAAACTAATTAAATATATAAACAAAACAGAAGGGACTAGCAGTTGGCATAATGGCTATGTCGCTGGACTCCCATGTAGTCAACCACGGTTCGAGTCTTGGACCCCGTGGCTTAAACTCACACTGGGCACATGTGCATGCGTGCCCAAGATCCTGAGAGGAGAATGGAGGAGAAAAGATTGCAGCGTGGCCATTCTACCCAGGGAGAAGATTTCTCCTTTTCTGTCTCTCTGTCTCTCTCTGTCTTCCTGGAGAGCACATGCGCCCAATAGCAAAAACTTCTCCAAAAATAGAAAAAGAAAATGAAAGAAAAGGGTTGAATCTTGGGGAAGGGTCAAGGTCTTATGAGTTTAAGAGAGGAGAAGCAGGATGAGCTGGTTGGGAAGTAGAGGGCTATTCTGTTAAAACAAACAAATGTTAACATGGAGGAAAAGACAAGAGGAAAGAGCTTTGGCGGTATGAAGTGCTAAGGTGAGAGAAGGACCCGACCTACGATGTGCTGGTCATACTGGGGACAGGACTCTGAATACAGATCACTGCTGACTCGTGGGACTGTGGGCAGAGCTGGCCAGACTGCAGGGAGCACTGTCCAGCCACCAGGCAACATGGGGCTTTGGAAAGAAATTCTGACCAGAGACCAAGTGGATTAGGTCCCAACAGAGAAGAACCTGATTCTCTAGGAATTCATCCAGGGAAGTTTTCTGGTTACCCCCTCCCCGCTCACCGGTGTAGGGTATCCATGTCCAATCCCTTATCCAGTCTCTCTGAACAGCTTTATGTTCTGAACTAGTTCAGTTCCATAGAGAAGCTTTTGTTAAGCATTCATTAGCTTGTAAGATTTTTTTTTTTTCACCTACAAAATTCTCTCTAGACTTCTGACATTGTCAAGTGCCACAATGATTTGGTTTGAATGACTGTGACCTTCAGCTGCCTGCACACTGATAATGCCATTTCTGGGATTCAAACTCAGAGATCTTTTTAGTCAAGAGGAGGAAATACTAGAAAGTGATATAGGGTCCTTCCTCCCTGCCTTTTTGGTTCTGTAAGCTAAAACTCATTCTTCCAATTGCCATGTCAATCTTCTAGCTAATCTTGGTTCTAGTTCCTCTAAACAGATCAATTTCCTAGAGAGGCAGAATACCAGGGCACCTGACCTAGGAATCAGAAAACCTGAGTTCAGTATTGCTTCCACCATTGATGACTAGCCATGCCCCTATAAGCAAATCTTTCAACATTTCCTCTTAAGTAAAGCAAAGAAGTTGGATCAAGATGCACAGAGATTTCAATTGCCTAAAAGGAGCAGAAGGGGCTCAAACCAGAATAAGTCTAAAACAATTCATTACAGGGATAAATGAGGATAGTGCTCTGCTTCCCACCAGCTCACCCTGCATCTTCTCTCTAGAATGCATAAGACCGCTACACTTCCCCAAGATTCAACCCTTTTCTTTTTTATGTATAATTTAATTTTTTTATTTTATAATTTTATATTCACATTTAATCATATATTTTTACGGGGTGCAAAATAGTTTTTCAAGGCAAAGGGAAAATGTTAAAAATCCCTATCTCTATAGAAAGGTTTTGGTTGTCCCTGAGCTGGGTAAGACGCTAGTGAGATGTGGGGCTGGCCCTGAGCTAGATCCCACATGGTTGACCACAGTTTGAATCTCAGCCCTAGTAGCTTGAAAAACACATTGGGCATGTGTGTGTGTGCCCAAAGTCCTGACAGAATGGGAAAATGGAGAAGAGATTGAAGTGTGACCACACCCCACTGGGGGTGCTTTCTCCCCCGTCTCTGTCACTCTCTGAGGGGTACATGGTCTCTCTGACAAATATATTATGCTATGGTTGCCAATATAGCACACCATCACAACAGCATCCATAGAAACTCAGCTTCCGGAATAAGAAAGGTTAGAGTCCTGCTTTCTGTGACTGGTCCAGTCATGGAATCTCCTTCCTCTCGTCTCATGTCTACATCTGGCTCTCTCTCCAACTTTCAATTAGAGTGATTTTTTCCTTAAAATCCAAATTTGATTTCTAACTCTACTGCTTAAAAGCCTTTGATGGCTCTCCATTGCCCTCAGCATGGAGTCTCATACAATGTCTTTCCGGATTTGACTCCTGCTGACTTCTCCAGACCATCTCTTGTCCTCCACTGACTCAGAATCCTCACTCTAGTAGTTCCAGTCCACAGGCAGTTCCCAGAACCGTTCCTTCTTTCTCTCCCTCTCCTCTGGAATGCACTTTCGTACATGTGCACACATCCTTACACCTGTTGGCTTCTCCGTTGCACGAGCTTTCGGAGGCCTCTGCATTTGCCCCATCCCAGCACTTCCCACACCATCTTGCCATTGCTTGAGAGGACCCCACCCTGCCATCCCAAGATAGCAGGGCCCTCAAGGCTGAGATTATGGAATTTTCTGTGCATTCTTAATATCTGCTGTCTTCCTGGTAGACAGTAAAGACCTGTAGAATCAATAGGAGGTCAGGCTTTTCAAAGGGAACAGGACAAACCCAAGCACATTTAGAGAAGAGTAATAAGGGTGGTGAGTGCTATGGAAATAAGGTTGAATGATGAATAGCTGAAGGAGAGAGTTTGGCCTGGAAAAGAGAGAATGATGAGACATAATAATTCGCCTTCAAGTCAAGGGCTGTCACGAGGAAGTGGCCATGCTTTCCTCTAGGCTCACCAAAGGACAGAAAAAGGAGGGAGGAAGGTGGTCATGGCACAATATCAAAGCAGCTCTAGAAAACTCCGTGATGAGGTCCATGTGGAGGAAGGGTACGGTGCAGAGAAAGGATGGCTTTTGGTAAGCTGAAGAGCTCCCTGGCCTTAAAAGTTCCCAGCGCCATCTCAGGAATATGAGTAGGAGGATTCTTGTGTTGGGTTGGGCATTCACCTAGCTATAAGATTGAAGTCCTGCGGAGCCTGGATTCTAAGATTTTCGAGGCTGACAGCTCTAAAAATGCGATTCTCTCCTCTAGGTCACAACAACACACAATTTAGAAAACGAAACGGATGTTCTACTTTATGACTTCTCTTCCTTAGTAGCTTTCGGATATTTTACTGATTCCAAATCTACCCGTGATGCCTGGTCCACTTCATTGTTCCGCTGGGAAAGAGGGACAAGGAGAAATTATATAACCTGTCCTAGTTTTGCAGGCAGAATCTCATTAGGAAACAGAATTCTCAATTCCTG